CGAGGAGTTATTTTTAAAGTAACAGTAACGGGTCAAAACAGGGCAGGAGGATTACAACACACTATTAGGAGGGTGATACGCATTTCTTGCACACATTGCACTTTATACATTTATACAGAACTACACAAATCAAGTTAATGAGTTCATTTCTATGTAGCATCTAAATGACCTTCTGGCTCTACACAGAATTGTAAAATGTCTTATTTCTCTATATCCAGATGATTTTAATTAAACAGTACTGAGTGTTGATGTCTAATTGGAATGTCATGCAGATGATAACTACCAAACACAGTGAAAAGCCCAGAAAGATGACTGGGTAACCAATGTGATAGATAAAATACTGAGTGGGAGAGAAGCACTTTGCAAGTTACAAGCAGTAGCGAATAAATACAATAAAGTTGTGGACAGTTTTGAATCCACAGCTGAGTCTTAGGGACGGAGGCTTAAGAGCTCATGTTTCTTGCTCCCATTCTATCACTGAATTGGATACAGGGGCAAGCGAATGCATAAGAAACCCCAAAACACCCAGCTGCATGACTCTGTCCTGATCAGAGGCATATTCCCTGACAGATACAGTTGCCACATGTTTAGGGCATCAGAGACTTCAAGGTCACAATCCTGCTGCGGTCTGTATGAGGAATACAACAATACCTCCCATCCTGTGGCAGGGCCATGTACTTCAATGTAGTATTTGTCACCTGTGTGTAATCAACTACAGAACCAAATACACATATTAGAATTACAACCCAGGTCCTATCCAGCTGTTTTGAAGTAGAATATTTTGTGAAGTAGAACATGCTGTGAGTGATAAATATTTTGGTTTTAGCTAGCTAAAATTACAATATACTGTATTTATGAGAGAGAAAAAAAAACCTTTTGTGTGTGTACATATGTCTATGTACATGCATATACATATGTACACATATTCTATATGTCAAATAAATTATGCCTTTTCTTTATTTAAAAAATATCTTGTGTATTTGAGGGGGGCACCTTTCTATTTCTTGGCACTGTTTGTTTTCTAAATTAGCAAAGATGCTCACTTTAAAGGACCCTCATGAGCCCTCTGCAAGCTCTGTTAGAGGACTGGAGAACATAATGAAACTTGGTCAAGTTTCTTGCTACATTGTAACCATATATCATGACGGTCTGCTCGATATCCTCAGCACTATTGCACTGAGATGTGATTTACTAGGTTCGTGGAAAAGATTGTAATGTTTCCCACTTAATGTACACTTGTATACATCCTATGTATTGTATATGTTCTTGAGATGTAGCGTATGTCAGCAAGTTTACTTATGTCACATTATGTGTTAAGCGTCTCCAGAATTTATTCAGTGTATGACTGACCAGCATGGTCCTTACTAAGAATCCCACCATGCTAGAGAAAATCCAGGATATAGAAACAATGTAGGTAGTCAAAGAGCAGGCGGAGTGGAAATGACAGTACAGAAGTTAAATGGAGGATGATACAGAAAGGGCAGAGTAGGAAAGGCAAAGCAGGACAAGAGAAAAGAGGGTCTCAAGAACCAAGACAGGATGGAGTAAATATAAAAAGACAGGAGAACAAGCACAGGGAAAGGGAGAAATTTATATTCCTAGGTAGCATTGCAAATCTACGTATCACAACTGTTGCAACCATATAAATCAGTAAACAGATTTTAGATAAACCAGTAGTTTGTTTGTGGAGTCACTAGATTAATTATATTAGTTATGGGGCAGATTTGGAGATGTATCCTACTCTATTCCACTCCAGCTCCAATTTCCCCTCCATTTCTGTGCTGTATATTCATTATGCTGGTATGCCTACAACTCCCAAATGCTCTCGACTTTTTCCTCAAAAGTCTTTTTATGTGATGGGCTGCCATCTGCAGTCCTGTTACATCACTGCTCCACGAATAGAAAGCTAGATAAAAAACTTGTGCAGGACTAACAGGAGCAATTCAGTCCAGGAGAGACTCTCTGTACATGTAAAAATGTCAAATAATTTTTTAAGTATAAATCCTTCCTTACACATAAAAGCATAACTGTCAAAAAAGCCCTAAGACAGGGAGCACAAAAGGCATTGTACAAATCAGTGAATGCAAAGACAACCCTTTAGCTTTCACTACTCACCATCTAGAATTATGACAAGGAACAATTGGTAGATTATAGGTATTTGTATTGGCACCAGTCGCTGAAGTACCAGCCAAAGGGTTGTTAACCAAAACCACAACAGGAAAGCAGTCTCTGAGTTCTTCTTACTTTCCTTAAGGCAGTTGAGATTGATTTTTTTATTATTATTTTTTTTTTAGTACGTTTTCTTCTAGATAAATTAGAATGCATCTCTTTGCCTCTACACACACCTTATTTTTCTAGAATACTGTTTTAAGGAACTTTTACCCCAAACGGCACTACCACTTCTTACCTTTGTTTCCATAAAGGTTGATACACATAGCAATTAAAATAAAAGGTGCTATTTAGAACACACTGATTTATCCTTTAAAAAAAATATACTGTCAAATTATGCAGTTTCCTTTACAAAAAAAAAATCACGGATTTTTAACACAAATTAAAAACTTAAGAGTTTGCAAAGTTATTCGGTTTTCATCTTGAAACATACCACAGCACTTTTCTAGTGCATTTAAAACTCCAGATGGTGCAGATCTGCTGAAGCTGACCTATTTTCTGCAAAGTCAAGTCACATTCCAGTAAACTTCTGAGAGAATTTCAGAGTCTCAGTATACGTTTGGGTATACTGATTCAACAGCTCTGTGACTTACTTGTTTGCAATTCTTTCTCCACCCAGGTTTTCTGAACAGCTTTGAGGAGTTACAAGCAGAGGAATGCGGTATTCTGAATGGATGTGAAAATGGCCGATGTGTAAGAGTCCAGGAGGGCTATACCTGTGACTGCTTTGACGGTTATCACCTGGACATGGCCAAAATGACTTGTGTCGGTGAGGATAGTATATTACTCAATCTTCTTCTGTTAGTCTGTCAGTTTACTCAAATCACTTGACCTAAGGAGGGGCTAGAACAAAGGGGTCACAGATGATCACCTGAATTACATTAAAGATGCCAACTTTGTTTGATTTACTGCAAAGGCCAGTAAATATTTCCTCAGTTCTTCTTGGTCATTACAGCTGTGTTCAGTTAAGAGCCTAGAAGTGAGCAGACACACATTTATGTAATGAAGCTTAAACTTTTATCAAGAATTTAACACTAATACACAGAACAAATGTTTTTTCAAAGGCTTTAGTGAGCTAAGAGGATGGAACTGGATCCAGAGTAGAAGAGTAATTTTAGGAGCAGATTTTTAGAGTGGCTGAATCACCTAAATATGCAGATAACCACTTGGTGGGGTTTGGCCCCTGATTCTCACTGATTTCAACAGTCAACAGACCAGACTACTCCACTCACTCTCAAACTAGTAAATCCGCACAACTAAGGAGGACATCTAATGACGATGTCTTCAATTAAAACAACAAAACACAGGAAAGGCAAGCGTCAGTGAGAAGATGAAGCAAAACAAGACTCCTCAGCGTAGAAGCCTAGTAGAGACCGTGCGTGGGTATTTCAGTTTAAGGTCTGTACTAACCTTGCTTAGCGTTATGCTTCGTAACCCACAGCTGAGGTCTCCCAGCTGTATCATGATAAGCTGCCTGCATGCCCTGTAATCTTTAGGGCTTTATGGCAAGCTGGCCTCTTTAGTGAGAAAAGATGTTGCTCCTGTGTATTTCAGGCCAGTGCTGCACAATATTGAGTGCAGGTGGTTTGCTGTTCACAACTATTTAGTTGACAACACCAACAGCTCCTAAAGTATTTGATTTTTTAAAATACAGATATTATACTAAGAACCTGGAGCTTCTTTCTTATAAGCCACTTTTCAGTCATCACATAAAAACCTGTAAGTGGTTATTAAATTTTTGTTTTACAGCTTAGGCTGAATTTGGACTTGGTGATCTGACAGTTTAAGGCCATTTAATACACTGTTGATTTCCTATGATAACTTCCACCTCTTCCCAATAAAATACTCATCTGTTATAGCTTTTGACCCAGTCTAATTCCACCTGATCTGAACTGAAAATACAGGTCTCAATGTATTCATACAGCATATTCTACTCCTGGCAATGCTGGAAATAAATGAGTTCTACCTACATACCAGACTTAAGTGCATGTGTTTTGATGTCCCCTTTTTGCAGACGTGAATGAGTGCAACGAGCTGAACAACAGGATGTCTCTCTGCAAGAATGCCAAATGCATTAACACAGAAGGTTCGTACAAGTGTTTGTGTCTCCCAGGGTACGTACCTTCAGACAAGCCAAACTACTGCACACCACTGAACTCAGAACTAGACAGTGAACTGGAGTAGAGGAAAGTCTCCGTATCCTAAGCCCATATACTCTGCACTGTATAAAGAAAAGGAAGAAAAGTATTTAACTTGAGAAGAGAAGGCACCGGAGTAGCGAACATAAGGGGAGAAAAGCATTAAAATGTGTCAAAGGTGTGAGACATGATGGGCTGGTAGTGTATCAGCTTCACTGAAGCGACAGACCAAATGGACACATTACTCTGTATGAAAGAAACAATCAAGTATATAGTGTGTTCATAAGAAAAAAGTATCTTTGAAAATAAGCAAAAACAGTGCTGTTATTTTAAACAGAAGAGCTTTGGTTTTTTGGTTTGGTTTTGGTTTTTTTTTTTTTACTATTGCTTGATTAACTTGGCATTTAAATAGTGTTGGAAATATTTTATATTACTATGTCATTTTTTGATTGTTCAGTTCCTTGCCTACTGTTTCTTTTCAGACCTTTTTTCTGATCAGTACAAATTCTATGATACAGATAGTCTTAGGCCATTTTATAAGAACTGTTACACAGGGTAATGCTCCTCCTTCTCTGGAACATCGGTCAGTGACTTTTTTTTAATTTGCTAGTTGTCTGCCCTGTGGAGCAGGCACCACTTGTTTTCAAATGTTTATATACCTTGGCGAAAAGTCCTTATATTCATTTTGTATTCTGTATGGTTGTTAACTGCACTTAAAGTCTTTAGAACCTTTCTTGCCAAGTTCAAAGCTGCTAGTGGACAACATTGGATTCTTTTTGTACATTAAAACAAAAGATTTTAGCTCACGTCTGTATTGTAATGTGTAAATTGAACACAAGAGAGATCTTGTATGATTACCCTAACATGTTAAAGCTGTATATTAAAACTCAATAAAATCACCTTTTTTTTTAGAAAAAAGCTATTTACTAATTGTAGGCTTTTTTTTTCTTTTATTGGTGTGTTTATGTTACAAGAATCAAGCCCTCAGGTGTTTACAGTACTAGAATTAATTTACATTACAGTAGTTGTAGGGAGTTGTCTGGTTGGTTTTTCCTTCTCATGCTGTTTTAATAAGACCAGAATCTGAATTAGTTGATGCCCTAAGTTAGGCTTCCAGAGGGAAGATTTCAAACACAGACCTACAGAAACTGTTTGACTTGGAAGCTGATGCCCACGGAATTTTTCATCTTTCCTGGTTTAGGCATGTTTCCCACTAAATCTGCAAATAAGGCTCTTCAGTATGATGGCCTGGTTTTCAGAAAATACTGAAGAGAAGGAGGAGAATTTCCTTTTCTTGATGAACTGTACCTTCCCATCAGCTCTATTTTTCAGTGGAAGGAGAGGAAGAGATTAGGAGACTGACAGATGTTTCACCTTGACCTTCTCCAGAGTGAAAGAGTTTGCCTTGGAAATCCTGCAACAGGTCTACTTGATATTTTCCAAATGAAACATTTTTGCTGTGTCTTTTAGACCTGCCCTGTGTTAAAAGGAAAAGGATAACATAAGACTTTAAAAAGTGGGTCAAATTGGGTCCAATTGTCCAAAAATTAGATTTTTATTTCTCATTTCACCAAAAAAAAGAAATACTTGGTTTGGTTCTGAATCAAATTTCTTTCCCAATATTTAGGTCAGCCACTGAACCAAAAATATCACAAGTTGTATTCCTTTCAGTACTGCGCACTCATTAAAGCCCACGTGCCTGTTAATGTGCAGAAGCATCTGTCCTTCCCAGGCCACCTCCTCTCTGCTGGAATTTGACACTAGGACTAGTGAAGACACCGTACATTTAAGATCTGATGGTATGTTAAAATGCAAGAAAAATTTCTGAATAAAACTGTGAGGGGAGGGATCTTTAAGAAAGAGACTCTTTGTAAAGTGCCCAACTCCCTTGACTTTTCTAGAATTAAGCAGGAGAGGGGTGGAGGGCCAGTCACTCTTCTCAGTCAAAAGAGGTAGACTACAAACGCTACAGCTGGTCTATAATTACAAAAAAAAAAAAAAAATTCATTCTTGCTTACCTGCTGTGGTTAAGGAGGAAGGAAGGAAGGTCTGGTCTTACTAGGGAATTCCAGAACTAAAGAGCTCTTAGTTGTCCTGCTTAAGGTTAATCCTATGATCTTAATAAAAACCAAAGTCACAGTTACAACCTTCCACTGGATTCAAGATGAGCTCTAGTCTGCTTTCAGCTATCATGAAAATTCATAGACAAGACAGTGGTCCCCCCACTCCCACCTCCAGACGGCCTCCTCCCACTTCAGGAACTGGCTGTGTTCACCTCTGATAGACAGCCTAGGCCCCAAAGCTGCCATTGCAGTCAGCACCACAGCCTCAGATTTTCGACATCCCAGTACTCCATCAGTCCCTCCCCAGCTAGGGAGTTAAAATGGCAGTACAGGTCTCTGCTTTTCCTGGGAGTGCACCAGTATGACAGCTGAGGAAATAACACTCAAACTTCAGTACCCTTACAAGTCTTCGCCTGGGGACAAACACTGTACTGAACATGTAATTCTGAGCCACAAGATTGGCTCCTTGCTGATTTATTACACCTTTTTAAAACAACAAGTTTAGAATAGCCTGAGACTTTGCTGTTCTCAAGACAATATACACTCTGACCCCGTTACTTTCTGTTATTTCAGACAAAAAAAACAATCCAAACCCAAGCTGTTCCGTGAGCAACAAAACCAAAATGAAGCCTGAATTCCTATAACCTTTCCTTGTAACTCTCCTCAGCAGACTAACTCCAGCTCCTTGCATCTCTGCCACTCTCCGCAAGTACAGGCAGCACCCGTCTGCAGCTGTGGGTGCCAGGACAGGCTGACAGATGCACATGCATTGACGCAACTACTGCCAAACCAAATGTTGTCTGTGCTCTCAGCAGTGAGGGTTAGTTGGGTCACTTGTCTCTAGCTGTTCATCAAACTTCACAGACCTTAGACTGGTCTTTTCGTCTCATTTGCCTTACAGACATGATTGACATTGGTCACAGGGTTAAAGGCTACCAGTAGGTTCAGAGAGATGGCATACACTGGCTCTGTTTCCACAGAAAACAAACCAACCGGCAAACCTAAGCCTAAGCGGCCTCTTGGCCTATCAATTTCTGTTACCAGCAATTCATAGAAGAGGTTTTGGTGTGTCCAGCCACCTTCCATCTCCCCTGCCTAATTCAAGAGGGCAGCAGTTGACCCAAGCCCTGTGTGAAGCTTGAAAACGTTCTTCTCATCACAGCCGCACTCTTCTATTACAGATACTATATAAGCAAACAACATACTTTGTGCATGCTTCTGCCTTTCCCTTTTGCCTCCTCTTACCTCTAATATGCCTTAAAACACACACAGGGAGCCAAAAGCAGACCAAACAGCCTAAACTCCACTTACATCCCAGTGCTTAGTATTCCATGTTGCCTGGCTCCAGGCCTTCAGAAATGCTTTAACAAAGGAACTACAATTGAAGGAATTAAGTGAAATTCAGCCGATCTGACCTCAGCTTCCGGAGCCCACCTACTTTGCCCCAGTGTAGCAAGGCTGGTTCTGTCATTTCACCTGAAAAGCTGCAGGGCTCAGGAATACAATTTTGATTCATAGTTAAACAAACATTTTCTTAGCATCATTAAAACGAGGGATTGGACACCATGGATGTAGCCATTTATATGTTACAAGAGCTGCGGTTTAGGTGAGAGCCCTAAAAATGCAGAAACCACCACGTACAATTCCATGATTCAAGTTTCTGAGTGCAGCAGAGTCTGGAACTGATTACAATTTATACCAAATGGCACCAATACTTTTTACATCCATATGGACCCTTTAAAAAAAAATATTAGTCCTTTTTCAGCCAGCCATTTCCTTGCTACAAAAAATAAAATTGCTGACATGGTAGAACTGAATTCTGCTAGTTCCCTTACAATGCTGCTGTGTTAATGAGAATGAAGGTACTAAAGAACTAGAGTGACACACATTTCAGCTAGAAAGGTATTTGATATGAATAGATACTTTCACGCTGGGATGCTATTCAGTGAAAAATTAGCCAACGTTAAAACTATTCAAAGTGAGCGCTAACATTCCTTGGGAAAAAACAGTCACAGCTGGACAGATCATTTCAATCCAAGAGACAAAACTGGCAGTCATGACAAATATTCAGCTAGTCAGTGGCAAATGACACACTCTAATAAACTCCTGACTAAGAGAAGTCCTAAAACGCTGAAGGCGCCAAAGTGGTTGTCATGACCTATTAGCTCCCAGTGGTCCTCACCCTCATGGGAGTTTGAATCTGAGTTTTGGGTTCCTCAGTGCCCCTTGAGTGATGTCCATATGGCAGCAGAGGAGCTCCTGGCTTTGGCACTCTCTCTTAACTTCTCAAAAGGAAAGGTGACAGATCTTATTAGAGCATGTCACGGGCCTGATCTGGCCAACAACGGAACCACAGCGCATTCTTTTGAAGTGCACAGCAAACTTAAAAACCCCACTGCTGCCTCTAGAAGAGACTACAGTATTGTTCTTTTAATAATGCCACCCACTTTCAAGAGTAGTTTGTACTTGCTGGGGACTCTGCTAACACCAAGCAGGCCAAGGGAGCTATTAAGGAGCAATTCAAGCAAAGAAGAGGTGAATTGCTGTGTGACACAGAGGCTACTGCTCACTTCTGAGATCATTATTTGGTATTTACATAGCTTTTTCTATCAGAAGATCTGAAATTTACCTAGGGAAGTTAAGTGATGTGTCCAAAAGAGAAGCAGAATAACTGAGAGTGAGTGAATGAGGAAAATCAGCCATTTGCTGAAGGCTTCCCAATGAGTGATGATGTCAGCTTGTGAGAGAGTAACAGCATTCTTTGGGAGAATGCCAAGGACCGGGCTCCAGTCACTGCATGCGCCTGCAGGAATAACCTCACACAGCAGAACTAGAAAATTTGGACCCTCCTGGGGCACCACCTCCACAGCTGGCACAGGCTGTGTTTTCACACCAAGCTGTGAAAGATCTTGAACCCCAACACCACACCACCCCCGCCAACCTTTACCATTTGAGTGCCCATGTACCAAAAAGAGAACATGTGTGGAAACAGGATTATCCTGTGACAACCTGCATTAATAAGTGATTTTACTATCTGGTGGGGAAAGAATGGCATAAACCAAAGAAATGCAGGATGTGGGCCATGTCAGATTTCCTTCAAGACCGCTGAATCACCAGATACGTATTTTGACTCAGAGACTCTTAATGAAAGTCTTCAGGCTGCATGTTCTGTCCCATCTGTGTCTGGGGCCTGTGATTGCTCTGCTCTTCTCCCTCTCAAGCTGTAGGGCTGGGAAGATACCTCTGTGCCTCAGAGCTGAGCAACCTCGCTGAACTTTGAAGTTTGCCCTGCCCGAAGCAGGAGATTGCACTAGGGGCCCTCCAGAGATTCCTTCCAAACTACATTTTTCCATGAGAGGAGGCTGTGGCCTGACACAGCAGCTTCTGCCCCCTATCCTGATGTGAGACAGGGAGCCTGACAGAGGGGATGTGACCCCTTTCCCTTCTTCTCCCACACCTAAGCACATGCCAGGAGCATGCCTTTCACTTTGGAGAAAACAGAACACCGACCTGCTCAGCCCATCTCAGAAGAATCCCATCCAGAAGGAGCATTACGCAAAACGTACACTGTTGCTTGCTATCGATCAATATGTTCTTGAAGAGTTAAGTGACAACCTCAGGTAGAAGGGAGTTCTGCAGTAAAGTTTTCGTCCTGACAAAAGACACAGAGGAGGGAGGAAATTTGGATATTCTTCTTTCTTTCTACACTGACTTTCCCTTCCCCTCAAGTCATGCTTCGCCACACACTGCTTTCCATTAGCTCTGAACCAAGGGGGATGGAGAGGATACTGCTAGCCAGCATGGAAAATTTCTACGTGACAATTTCAGCATCACCTCCAATCCCTATCTACTCT